CAGTCAGTAAACAATACTAAAATTACTTATGACAGCACGATAAACCTTGGTGACATCGTGAACTACAAGTTAATTTTAACTTGAAACAAATTTCGAGTACAAGCGAGATTTAAGGTTATTTAATAGAATACAAGAATGTTTTCTGATGAAAAAATCTAAAAACTAAAAAATAATCCGCGGATGACCTTTCAAGAAAAGTTACATTGAATGCTTTTACATTAGAAATGTATTGCACTTTTCATAACATTAATTATTAAGGGTAAATACTTTCCCAGTGGGCAAAAAACCATGTTCATTCCAAAAAAGTCCTTAAAACGTTTTTAAAACATTTCACCTCAGCCAAAAAGTGTTCTAGAATATTTTTTAAACACCTATGTTTTTAAAATGTTTCATAACATTATTTGGCGGACATAAAACATTACAAAAATGTCCTCAAAACGTTTTTAGAACGAACATGGTTTGTGGCTCACTGAGTTACCCATAAATTATTATTATTAAACTTTATTAGAAAGTGTAGAGAGCGAAGAAAATTAAATATTGGTGAAATATAAACAGTGGATTTTTGAAGAATCATAACTATATAAAAGAATGAAAAAAATTTTATCTATATACATATGTTTTCGAAAGGTTTTCTCCTGCTTTTTCATATGGTCAAAAGTTTTCTTAAAAAATTCTAAATTTCCCCTTTTTTAAAAGATAAAAAAATATTTTTGAAAATTAGTTAATAACTAATTGTCACTAATCTGAGTAACAATTAGTAGGTTTTTTGAGTTAAGTAAACTTAAATTTTTTAACAGTATCTTTTCTTACAGATCGCTAAATAAGATATAAGCAATGTTATCTGCAGATAAAATTTTTGCACTGTAAAATAATATAATTTGACACATCTATATCATTTTATTTAAAATGTATACATTTTGAATGTAAATATATTCAATGTAACTTTTTTCAAAAAGCCCCCTACGCATTGTTTGTCTATTCACATGTGTAAATTTTTTAAGCGTAAAATAAAATCGTATAAAATTCTTTATAAATTAAACTTCCGAAATTAAAAAATGTAAATAAAAATTTATATTTATCCGAAGTTTTACTCAAAAGTATTTTTATTTGCAGCATTTCCTATTAAAATAATATCTATACCAAAAAATACTTACTTTGAAATCTTGACATATTCACAATTTTGACACATTTTGTTTCTTTCGTCATGTTTGAATTTGCGGATTTTTTCTGCATGTAATATTATATATTAATTATAAAAGGTTCCTAATTTTTTTGCGTTATATTCCAAGTGGAAATGTTTCAAAAAACCATGTGAAATTCGCGTAGGTAAATGAAAATCCACGTAGATTTTGACAATTTCTACATGCATTTCCACGTGAACATTTTCACCTGGATTATTAAACGAACATGAAGCAGATCACGAATAACACATTAAAAACAAACGCCCCTGCCTTGACTTTCAAGTTTTTGAAAAAAACTTCGTTTTTTACCCTCCTGGCTCTTTGCGCCGCGACCATACCTCGTCTTCTCTTTGGGGTTCATTAAAAATAACCACAATACCACGCATGCAGAATTAACTTAGTTGATTCCTTAATAACACAGTTTTATTCCTTAATAACATAACATAGAACGTGGCGCCACCTACTTGACTCATTTTTGCTGCAGATCAAAATGATCCTGCTGACTGGATCATTTTGAGCCCGGGTTTTTACTGTTACATCCAAAATATACAGTGAAAAGTATTTTTGATTTTCCAGAAACAAAAATCTTTTAAAATGGAAACTCGTGTAAATGAACGTTTCTTTAATATTTTTTACAAAAAAATGTTATAGTTTATTGAATTGAAAAAAAGCAAACCTTAAAGTGTTCAATATAAGCTATATATAATAATTTTTTTATATAAAAATATTACATATGCAGCGACGTTACAGGCGTTTAAAGTAGATCTTTGGTTTTGCGCCGTGCAGCCTACTGGTCTCAAATCTCAACCAACATCAAAAAAATAAACTTTTTATCGTTAAAGTTAAAATATACAAATACGCGTTACAAATGCAATACAAGAAAGTAGTGTGCATTTGAAGTTCTACACTTATATGTATACTATAGAGACATTTATACTTGATACATTATATTAATAATGTATTATTAATTATCATTCTACAGATAGTCTGTTACACAAGAGTCTTGTTGGATTTAAATCATAAAACAATAAAAAAAACAATTTTAAGAATTTATTTAATTTAAAACTTAATTTTCTAAATAACTCAAAAAACAAGATTTTTTTAACACGAATTTAGTGTTTTAGGTGATATTACGAATTTGGATTTTGTTAAATGGGAAAAAAGGTGAAAACTGTACCCGGCTGAAGAAACTTGTACAAGAAAATGTACAAGTTCTTGTACATGTTCATTAATGCCCTTGTACATTTTCTTGTACATGTTTAAGTAATGTTCTTGAACAAGTTCAGCATCCGGAATTGAGACATATTCTTGTACCAGAACTTGTACATGATCCTGGACAAGAAAATGTACATGTTCTTGTACATACTTTTTTGAGCAGGTTTCATGTTCTGGTACAAGAACACAAGGGAAAAAATATGTCAAAAAAATTACTATTAAATGAATTGATTTTTATATCTTAAAAAGGTATACAATATTTTTTATGAATTCAAACAAATCAAATTCTGTTAAAAAAATTTTTATTGTATAATTTTTTTAATTAATTCTTAGTGAAATTATAAGTACTTTTGTTTGAAAAAATTGCCAATTTATAATAATCAAATACTATACAATTTAATCAGATTTAAGTTTATTTAATTTATAAATTAAAAGAAAAAATGTTTACAAAACTAAGATTTGTTTGTGGAATATATGAAAAATGATGAACAGTCAAAAGTAATATAAAATTTGCTAACCTTTCGCTCTCCTATCACTTGTCTATGCGGACGCTGGATGCAAATCCAATACGGAAGATCGAATTATCTGTCCTCAAGTGTTGTTTAAGTACACTTTTTCTCAACTTTTTCACAAGTTTTCCACAAATTGGAAAAATTTTCTTTTTAACACGATACACTGATGCGACTGCACGATAAGTATGCACGTATCCAAATGACCGCTTTAGTTATCACACCACTTTACCCTGCTTTACATCTTCATAAGTAGGGTTGTATTAGAAGGTGCCGTAGTTGAAATGTAAGGCGCGGAGAACACAAGAATCAATCTGTTTTCGGGAATGACCGCCTAATTCGCTACTATACTACGGTTCATAATCGCATTTCTACTTCTATGTACCGGCAAACTTGTTGCTCCCTTGCGGTGTTGTTTATACCTCGTTTTTTGTGCTCTACGTTCTTTGGAATCCTTTGACATCGTCAACTGATTGGAAAAAGGTTAGTTTTGAAAGTAATAAATTAATGAGAAATATAACATAAGGAACATTTGTCTGCATGTATGTGAGTGTTTATGGATGTGTGTATGGTACCGCGTTTTGTATACAAATTATCTCAAACAATTGGTGTTCTAACAAAAAAATATTTTATGCTATGAATTTAACTTTGTTTATTATAAACGTATTTCTAACATTAAAATAAATTACTTGATCTTTATAAATTATAAATTTCACCTAAATTTATAAAATTAATCGTTACTTTTAACTTTAATAAAAATAAATTTTACAATCTTTTAATATTTCTTTTAGTTTTAAATTGCTGTTAATATTTACTTAATTATATTAATATTTAATGTTTATTTTTTTTAAACTTATCTAGTTAATTTCCTTAATGTTTTCATATATCAAATGAACATATTATTCTCAAAATTGAATTAAAAAATTCATGGCATATCACATAAATTAGCAAACTGCAATGTTTCCTCCGCGAGAAAACAAAGGATATCTGCTTAATATTATTATTACATATGTCTGCAGAAAAAAATTAGTTTATTATTTAGAAAGCTAATTTTTAGCTATGTGGAATGTAGTAATTAATTGTCACAGCTCAATATTTTAAATGTAAAAATAATTATTAACTATATTAACTAAAAATTAGAATTTATCTACTAATAGAAATTACTTATTTACATCCTAGATAAATGTTATCTGTGACAGCTAAATTTTTTTTCTATATATGAATTATTTTCAGTCATGTATTTCTTACAATTTATATTTATTAAAGTGACAACATGTTGGGACATTTAAAATTAATTCATCCGGTATTGAAGATAAAAAATTTATAAATTATATTTATTATTAATATTTTTATTATTAATGTATTATTACAAATATTAATTTCATAAAAATTAGTTTTTTTATAAATTTAACTCAATAATAGTTCTTTTTAAAAATGTTGTTTTACATAAATGTAAAACTTATTTTTATACTATAAATGTAGCGTTTAAAGAAACTATTTTAACGAAAATAATTAGTTTTCGAAAATGAAGTTTTAAAATAAATTTTCAATTTAAAAATGCTAATGAATTGGCTCAAATATTCGTCTTTTCTAATAAGTGATAATTTATTAAACCTCGTAAAAACATTATTGCATATTTGCTTATATTCAGATAATTATATAACTGTCATTTTTTAAATTTACATCCTTTCGGACAATTGTGCACAACTTTTAGAATGAAAATTTTTTTGATACTCAATCTTCGCTTATCGAAGTACACCGTAAACATATACATAAAAATGGTTCTTATTATTTGCGTTGAAAGCATTCCTCATCATTCTTAATAACAGTAATGATGGACTCTTGAAGCAAAAGTACTTCATAGGCGTTTCTTAGAAAACCAGTTACCAGTTTTTTACTTAAAATAATTTAAATTCAATAAATGGAGAGAGTGCTAAACTTGATCCCATTTATTTTTAAGGCCTAATCAGTGTGCATGATAATAGCTACACGGTTAAATCTTAAGCACTAATTCAAAGTTTTTTTTCAATTTTGCTTTATATGATGTATGATTTTTTTATAATATCAGTTTATAATATTTTTACAGCTAACTGCAATGACTGATACTTCAGTAGCCACTGATAGTGTCAGTGACCCGAAAGTTAATGTAGAAACAAATAGCCCTCCAACTGGCTCTAAGTCAGGTGAAGAAAATGTGAGTATTCTAGAATTAAAATGACTCTTTTTAGTCTACTAATAAGGAACCTTTTCTTTCTGGATTTTTTAAGATAAAAGAATAAAATAAAAAATCAGATTTTAGAGCTGATTTACAAACATTATAAATTTACTAAAATATTTTTCTGATTTAAGAAAGATAAAATTTGTTGAATGTAGAGGGGACCAAACTTGGTCTCGTTTATTTGTCAAGCTTAATAAGTGGGCGTGTTCGGAGTTAAACAGTTTAATCTGCAGCACTAGTTCAAAGTTTTTCTGGATTTTTCTTTCGACTTTGTAAGATTTTTTAAAAATACCAATTTATAATATTTTTTTACAGCCCGGTGCAGTGACTGATACTGGCACTGATGATACCAGTAACTCGAATGATATTCTCGAAACAAATAGCTCTCCAATTAGCTCTAAGTCGGATGAAGAGAATGTGAGTATTTCTAAATTAAAAAGATTATTTTTAGGCTTCTTAAAAAAGAACAGGACTTTTTCTTTCTGCATTTTTTAAGATAAAAGAATAAAGTTTAAAAAAAACAAATTTAAGGGTATGTGGGAACCTCCCACGTGACCTAGTATGGGAAAATGTGTTTTGGTAGTATACATTTCACTCTGAAATGAGAAAAGATTTTTGTCTAAAATTTTGAGGGGTGATAGATTAGGGCACAAGGAATCTCGCTGTTCTCCGAAAAATACATAATTTTGAGTTAAATTATTAAAAAATGATGTTTAAAAAGTGACATTTTTAAACGAAAATGAAAACAAACATGGCGGCGTATACACAGACGTTGCTTGAGTGTGTCAGTGCTCCAGTAAACAGCGCCAATTCGAGCGAGTGGCCGCTGAATGAACTATGATAAAACACATTATTTTTCTATTTATTGCTTTATTTTTATTATTTGCGCGTTAAGTTATAGTAAATGAGAAGAATAGCGAGATTTCTTATACCAAACTAAATCATTTTTCCAAAATTTTAACCCGAAATCATTTTTTATTTCAGAGAAAGTTTCAAACCACAAAAAAACGTCCTTTGCCCACATACCCTTAAGACCTTATTTACTAACATTATAAATGTACAAAAATATTTTTTTAACTTTAAAAAAATTGAAATTTATTGAATATAGAGGGCTCTAAACTTGGTTCCGTTTATTTGTGAGGCCTAATTAGTGGGTATTATTGCAGCTAAACAGTTTAATCTGAAGCACTAATTTTAAGTTTTTCTGAATTTTGCTTTCTACTGTTTAAGATTTTTCAAAAATATCAATTCATAACATTCTTACAGTCAACTAGCAAGACTAATACTGGCACTAATGATTCTAATGCCTTGAAAGAAAATACCGGAAGTCAAGGCCCTCCAAGTACCTCTAATTTGGGTGAAGATACTGTAAGTATTCCGGAGTCAAAAAGACTCTATTTACACTGAAAAAAAATTACTCTGATCAAATAAAAATTACGTTATTTAAGAAAATAATTTACTTGTAATATAATATAATAAATTTAAATAAATATCAAATAAATTTATCATTTATAAAAATTATTTCATTCAATACTGCTTGAGTAGCCAAAAGTTTTGCACATTTAAATGAACGAAATTTTTTTGCAACTTCCTAAAGTACGAATTTTATTACAAAATAATATTTTAAATATCTAAAAAGCAGATATTAATTTAATAATTTTTTAATTTGCTGTTTTATAATTTATAACCATCATAATTTTTATTAATTTATAGATTGAAAAAAAATATTTCGTTCATTTGAACAATCAAAACTTCTTTACACATCAAAATCTATTTATTTCATCCAAATATTTTTTATTAGTTTTCATAGAATCATTTATTAAATATTGCGTTATTTCTATTAAATAAATTAGTTTTCTTGAATCAATAAAATAAATTTATTGTGTCAAATTATTTTTTATTTGTATCAAAAAACAAAATATTTGAGTAATATAAATAAAGGAATAGTTTCAAACAACACTATTTTTATTCAAAATAAATATTTACTTGCTAGAAATATTCTTTTTTGTTTTCATAAAATAATGTATTAGTATTAAATAATGCATTATTCGCATTAAAAAAATTAGTGTAGTAGAATCAATAAAATAAATTTATTCTGTCAAATAATTTTTATTTGTATAAAAAATCAAATATTTGTGTAAAATAAATGAATACATTATTTTAAATAATTTATTATTTGTTAAAACTTTCATCTGTTTCAAATAATTTGATTTACTTAAATCAAACCTTTTTTTTAGTGTGGAAAATGATCAGTTAACCATTTTTTTAATTCCATTTCGGTCCAATTCTTCTTTGGTGGGGCCAAATTTCACCCAAAAATTAATTCTAATCTGCAAAATTCGGAATTGATAAAATTTGTATATTTAAAAAAAATGTTTTATTGATTCTTGAACAATTTTCAATTTTATTTATGTGCAGTTTTTGCATAAAATAATTTTTCTTTTTATTTATTATAATTGAGTAAGTTACTTAAATATAAACAGAAGTTTATGTGTCCAGATGAATGAAAACTAATATTTATATTTAAAGGCAGTTAATGTTTGTAGTATAATAACACAGCCCCACAAAAAAAAAGTGTCATGTACTTTTGACCGGAATACCCTAACCCTATGTATTTTGACGCGCTGAACACGAATCCGAAGTCCGTTTTGCTCTATCACGTCAGGATTTTTTTCTAACCTAAAAAAACATGTCGGATTTTGAGAAGTAGGCGATTTTTTTGAAAATTGATGTATTAACTTCAAACTTGGTATCTGGGGGTTTTTTGTGTCGCTGATTACGAATCTGAAGTTAGATTTTCAAAATCAAAAATGTCGGATCCAATATGGCGGACGAATTTTGAAAAAATTTTAAGATTTACTTCAAACTTGGTATCTAGGGGTTTTTTGGGTCGCTGATTACGAATCTGAAGTTAGATTTTCAAAATCAAAAATGTCGGATCCAATATGGCGGACGAATTTGAAAAAATTTTAAGATTTACTTGAAACTTGGTATCTAGGGGTTTTTTGGGTCGCTGATTACGAATCTGATGTCAGTTTTCAAAAATTGATAATGGCGTATCTAATGTGGCCGATAGAAGTCCATGTTGGATATGCCATTTTGAATTTTTGAAATCTGACATCAGATTTGTAATCAGTGACCCAAAAAACCCCCAGATACACTATTGCACATTAATTTTTGAAAAATTTCGTAAAATAATGTCCCCCTACCAAAAAAAAATTCAAGGTGTATTTTCCTCCCATAAATCAGCTTTTGGGGAAAAACAAAACATACGTGTCAAATTGTTTTCAAAAAACTACAAAATTGCCATGTTTCAGAAAAATCGGCGTATGGCACTTCCCTAGTGTTACTTGTCAGCAACTTAGAAAACCTGTAGATACCAAATTTCATAATAATCTGACAATTTTTTAAAAATAATTCCTTAATATTGAATCAGACATATCGAATTTCGGAAATCTGACATCAGATTCGTAATCAGCGACCCAAAAAACCCCTAGATACCAAGTTTGAAGTAAATCTTAAAATTTTTTCAAAATTCGTCCGCCATATTGGATCCGCCATTTTTGATTTTGAAAATCTAACTTCAGATTCGTAATCAGCGACACAAAAAACCCCCAGATACCAAGTTTGAAGTTAATACATCAATTTTTAAAAAAATCGCCTACTTCTCAAAATCCGACATGTTTTTTTAGGTTAGAAAAAAATCCTGACGTGATAGAGCAAAACGGACTTCGGATTCGTGTTCAGCGCGTCAAAATACATAGGGTTAGGGTATTCCGGTCAAAAGTACATGACACTTTTTTTTTTGTGGGGCTGTGTAATTAAAACTTTATTTATAAATATGTCTTATTTTCTATATTCTGTAAATTAGATTGCGTTAATTTTTACGATATATATAGAAAATAAACATTTACAGGTAAAAAAAATTAGATATGGATCGGGTCGCAGTGGAGGAGATGGTAAATTAGCTGGAGCAGCAGCATTTAAAGTAAGTTAAGAGTGTAAATCCAGGGTGTCTACTCACCGACAATGTAAATTAACCGGGAAAAACTGGGATTTAGCCGGGAATTTTACGTCAAAACAGGGATTTTTCTTACTTACGTTTAAATCAAGTTTTATGAGTTTAATTATATATTAATTTTCTTTATGGATATAAAGGCTAGAAAAATAAGGAATTTTTTGAATTTTAGGTCATTTCGTTTCGAGGTCTACATTAAAGAGTTTATACCTAGTCAAGAGGTACAAAAAGCAATTTTCTGAGAAATTTTTCAAAGGAAGTTTTTGCATTAGATTATGTAACTTTTGAAGTAAAAGTAATATTTTTAATTTTGCAAAAAATATTGATTTTCGTGGTTGCTGCAATGATTTTCCCATGGCTTCTCTAAAAAAGGGTCTTACAGTGAGCAAGATATTTTTTCACTGGATCATCTGAAATAAAAAACAGCAAAATATTTGTTTAATATATAAGATCAAATCTCGTTTTTTAAGGAATAAAAAGTTCTACATTAACAAAGTTGCAGCATCTAAAAAAGTTTTTTTAATTTCTTTTTGCTTCCTCGTGGAGGAAGCTATGTAGTCCTTTCGTTTATAAACTTTTTAAAAATGGTGAAAACAAATTTTCCTCTATATAGAAACATGTTATATGAGATCCTGATCAATTGTCCGGATGTATGTATGTGTGTGTGTATGTGTGTGTGGATAGTTTTTGTGAACACGATATCTTTAACAGGTTTTAATGGATTTGGATAAAATTTGGTAGGCTTATTTAACACATTAATCTCTCAAAAATGACGAGAGGATTTTTAAAAATACCCAAAAAAAAAAATCTTATCGTCTTTTTTCCAAAAATTTTTTTTTAATTGAAAAAATTTTTAAATCGAAAAATTTAAGGTAATATATAATATAATCGTCTTCTTTATGTCAAGATGAATCGATTGATATATATAAAGTATAGATTTGATTGAAATTTAAAGAATTAAAGAAAGTTAAAAAATCAAAAATTCTCATTTTAGCTAAAAAATGATGTGTTTATTTAAATTCATGTTTCTATATGAAATAATTTTATTCCCTGCATTGAAACGAATTGGTTGGTATATATAAAGTATAGATTTGATTTAAAATTTGAGAATTAATAAAAATTGAAAAATCGAAAATTCATATTTTAGCTAAAAAATTTTGTGTTTTTTTAAAATACAAGTTGATGAATAAAATAATTGTATTCCTTGCATTAAAACGAATCGATTCGTATATATAAAGTTTATGTTACACTCAAAATTAATTAAAATTTTCTTTATTTTTCAAAAAATTTAATTAATTTAAAACATTTTTAACTCGAAATTTTTTAAATCAATCAATTGAATTGGACAAATTCATTGCTTCCTTCACGAGGAAGCGAATTTTTTGCTTCACACAATGAGGAAGCATTATGTTTATGAAATAAACATAAAGGACCCCCTCCTTTTTTTTAAAGCTGCTTTGTGTAAAAGCTTTGTGTAAATCTATTATTTTTTCATTCCTTCAAAAAAAACAAGATTTGATCTTATATTAACTAAATATTTTTTTATTTCAGATGATCCAGTTAGAAAATACCTTGCTCATCGTAAAACACCTATTTTTAGAGAAGCCATGGGTAAATTGTTGCAGCAGTCACGAAAATCGACATTTTTATAAAATTACAAGTATTGTTTATACTTTAAAATTTATATACTCCGATGGAGAAAATTCCATTCTAATAAATTAACAACTTTCTTAAAAGAAATGGCTTTTTTTGGCCTCCTGGTATCATATGCTACCAAGTTTTATTTAAATTCGTTAGCTTACTCCGAAGAGATATCTATCCGTCCCGGGACTTTTGATATACCCTGTATAATGATTACTCTTTATTATATACCTAATCATTATTGTAATTGTGTAATAATTAAAAAATATTTTTTAGGTTACTAAAGAAGCAGAAAAGTTAAAAAAGAAAGAAGAACAGGAAAAGAAGAAAAAGAAGGAGGAAACTAGTAAGAGAGAAACGAATAAGAGAGAAAAATCACGAGATAGAGAAAGATCGAGAGACAGGAATGCAAGAAGAGATAGAAAAAGGTCGAGAAGCAAAAGCTCTAAATCAAAACAAGAACAGGACCAAGCACGATGTAAGAAAATTTTACAATTATGTATGCAGAATAGATTGGTTGTCATTATATTAATATATTTCCGGTTATTTGCAAAAACGTGACTTTTCAAATAAAATTTAAAAAACCTATCCTTCCAGATGAGATTTAAGAAATATGCAAATAATGTATGTAAATTACTTCATTTTCAAATAAAAATTACGAAAAAAAACTTGAAAAATAATTTTCGGGAAAATTTACAACTTGATTAAATCTTTTTAATACTAACAATCCAAAAAAATAAACGTAATTTTTGCATTAGCAAATTTAGCTACTGGTAATTTGTTATTTATGGTAATAGTTACTGGTGATATGTATTAAATAAATAAATAGTGAAGATAGATTATAAACAACATTTTACTAACTAAATTGTATTTTCTACCGCGAAAGGGATATTTTACTTTAAAATGGATAAAAACGACTTTTTGTGAAATTTTCGGAACCATAATATTTATTTACAAAATTTATTTTAGATGATATAGGGTCAGTTGGGGTAAATGGGGACAGCTTGTTATTATTAACCAAATTGACAAAAATGAAAAATTCATGTGAATTTCTGTTATATGAGTCAAAAATAAACCTGCAAATATTACCTTTTAAAGAAAGAAACTTTCGTAATTTGTGAAAAATGAGGATCGAAAATGTGGCACCTCCAAAAAAGTTTATAAAATAATTTTCTCCAATCTTTGGTAATTTTTTTTAACAATTAGTAATATGAATTCTTAAACAAAAAATTTTTTAACCACAAAAACTGAAAGTCGAAAATATTATATTAATTTTTTATATGAATGATACACTTCATTTTTTTAACGAAATCTAAGTTGTTTCCTAGAAGAATATATAGATGAAAAAGTGGGCCATAGAATGTTTCAACGTTAAAAATTAACATTTCTCACTACTTTTTGCTATTTGTAAAAAATGTTAATTTTCTCGTTTTAAATATTCCAGACCCACTTTTTCAGCTATATATTCTCATTGTAAAAATTCTAAGTTTTAGTTAAAAAAATAAAAATTTATTTTTGAATTTCATTTAACAAAGTCTTCTTAGTTAGTCATACATGCGATAAAAAAATTTTAAATTGAACGATATACTCCAAAATATACCAAAACTTCTACACCTTTCACACACTAAACATTAGTCTAAAAAAATTTTTTCTTTTATCATCTGAAAAAATATTTATAAAAAGAAAAAACGAATTTTTAAATTTTAATTATTTTTACTTGATAAACAATTAAATAAATTATTATATCAGACACACTTGGTTGCAAATTCAAAAACTCAAATTAAATCAAATTTTCTTCTTTTCAGATAAACCTAAATATTGGGAAAATGGGAAAAATAGAGGAGGATATCGAGGAAGCAGAGCAAATGGAAGAAATAGAAATAATAAAGAACAAAAAAAAATCATTATAGTTAATAAGGGAGGAAACATATTTTGTTAAAATTGTATAAATTTTAAAGTAATAAAACTTTAATCATTTGAAAATTCAATTAGTTCATATTTTAAGGGGTTGGGTGGGTTTCAACTTTTTATTTTTTTTATTTTATTAAAAAATAGCTTAATATGGCTAGAATACTGTCCCACAATTCCAAATCGATTGGAGTTAATATTATAAGAGATACAGCCTTCGGAATTTCTTGAAAAACTGGAAAAGTCCTTGAATTATTTTTACCTTAAAAACCGGAAAAAGTTCTTAAATTTTGCATCAGGTACTGGAATTTTCATATTTCATGTAAGAATTTTTTTTCCCACCGCGTTTAGAAACACAAAATTCGTAACCTTTTTTTGAATATACTCTTATGCAAAATTCAGGCCTCAAATTACACGATTTTTTCGACTCTTTTCAATGTAAGAGACTATTTTTAACATAATTTAATAAAATGAGACATTTCCGACTTTTTTAAAATGTTTTTTAAAGAAAATACGACTTTATTAGAATGAAATTAAAATCGTCCAAAATTGAATTATTTAAAAAAATATTGATCAGAATTCTTCGCAAAATTAATTACATATTTCATAATTTTAATCATGTTCTCTAAAAATTCCAATATTTAAAATATTTTTGAATTGAATGTCCTTTTAAATGCAATTATATAAAATGCCTATGTAAAAAAAATTCATGAATTAAAATTGATGTGAGTTTCAATTATAAAAATTTCCTGAAATTCAATTATTTCTAAAAATTTTTACTTGAAATCTCCAAAAATTGATTTACTTCTAAAAATGTTAACTGAAACTTTTTCAAATTTCAATTATTTGAACATACATTTTTCTAAATAATATTGTTAATAAAGTTATTTGAAAATTTAATTATTTAAAACATTGTCTAAACTTCTGAATTCGAACAATTTAAATAAATCATATTTTGAACATTTTTTTAAAAATTATTTTTATTTGTCTTATAGGTACTCAATTGAATTTTTGATAAATTTGTCTCAGTATAATTCTGAAATATTGTAATTAAAATTTCTTAAAAATATCCCTTTGAAATATTTTTATTATAAGGAATTAATAAAACTTGTTTAATAATAATAATAATAATAAAATATTTACAAACTAATTGTTTATATTTAAATATTATAGAAAGGCCTTTTTTTAGTTTCCTGGTAATATAAATCGACGCTAAAATGACTTTTTTCTTCCTCTAAATTGGATGCAAAGCCTGAAAATACAAAAATTTAAAAATATTAATTACTAATTATAACCTGGAAAAGCCCTAGAATTTTATTTGGCAAAAGCGCGAGACTCCCTGCCTCTGAAACCCACCTAACCTCTTAACAGAAAAAATCGATTATTCAAAATTTTAATAAATTTAAAATTCTAATGCCAATTCTAAATTGTAACTAATTAAAACTTCAATTACGTTAAATTTTAATCAATAAAAAAATTCAATTTAGTTAGGGTACGCGACAAACGGTAGCTAAACTTCTCGGCTAAATGTTTTTCTTTCTGCTTCAAATACAATGTGATTACATCCATTCGTAAATAATTTATTTATGTATGTGAGATTAATGCTTTTTATATAATTAACATAATTTTCTTAAAGTACTCTGCCTTTAAGGATAATATTCTCATCACGCCACTCGCGTTTGACACTCGAATGATAAATGTAATACTTATTACACATTATAATGAAAAAGTAAGTAGAAGAAAAAGACGATATTTATATTTTAAGCAATTCTATGTTTTAGCAAAAAAGTGTTCAATTTTACTCATATTTTCAGAAAAAAAATTGAAAAAACTTTTTGTTTGAAAAATGAGAATTTTTAAAATATTTTTAAATTCAAAATTTGAATATATTTTTTGTTTTCAAAATAAAGTTACTTTGTCTAAAAAAAGGTATAACTTTTTTATTCAAACTCGAAGCAAAACATGTTAAAGAGAGAAAGGTTTTATTTTTACTCGCATTTTTCGAAAAAAAATTTAAAAAATTATTTTTTTATTTTAAAAATTTAAATAATTTTTTTGTTTTCTAAAGAAATCGGTTAAATTTAATAATTTCTAATTATGATGAGAATGTAATAATAATAACAATAATAAAAAACTAAAAAAGGATAAAAATAAATAACAAAAATATATAAATTATATTATATTATTATGTATATAAATTTATTAATATTTTTTATTTCTATTAATAATTATTGTTTACTTACCTATCATGAGAAATTCGGATTCTCGCGACAAAAAGTGTATTAAAACATTATTTACAAATAATTAAGAACTTAACTTCAAACTGTAGCGCCATCTGTTATGTTCAGCTGAATCTAAAACTAACCGCTTACCGTCAAGCACTATCATGTGGTTGCGCGGTATTCAACATGGTAACTGGTCGACCAGTTATTACTACTTACCGGCAGTGCATTCTATATATTCCCTCGGGAAAATGTAAACATGACATTTTTTATTTATTTTAACAATAAGTGCAGTATTAAGTGCCAGTTTTTTTGTGTCAATTGTTGCAACAAATCATGCAGTTTTAATTACATAACAATAAAGTGGTCAAATTAGTTGTTTCTTGTGTGTTTTTAACAAATCTCTGACTAACTTTCAAACCCCCTGAAAATAACACTTTTTTAAAAATTAATTTTGCAATAACAAAAAGTGTTATTTATTTAAATAATTATACAAAAATATCCCTTACATCTCCCTCTTTTAAAAATTGTATTGCAAAGTGGTCTTTTCTTTTGTTTAACAATTGTTTTTAAACAATCCCTGACAGTCCCTGACAAATCCCTGAGTTCAGGGATCTCTCAGGGATCACAATCCGCCAGGGATGTAGTTTGAAGCAACTGCACTGTATTAAATCAATTTATTATTTAAATTTTTTAAAATTGTTCGAAATAATAATTTTAAAAACTGAGAAAAAACAGCGAATATCATAGGAATGCTAAATTTTTAATTTTCTAGACATCTTGATAGTTTATTATTATTATTATTATTCAATATAATTTGACGTAATTGACTGTGATCTATAGTAATTCAGGATAATTCAACACAATTGTACACCATAATTTATGGTTTGTTCACCCCTCGGCTTAAATATTTTATTATTTATTGAATTTAATTTTTATTAAAATATTTTGCTTTATTTTTAGAAAAAATCCGTTCAACTTAGACGCCGGAAATGACCCTTGCCTTAATTGGAAATTATTCAAAGACAAAAGCCAAAAGTAATTTAACAGGCGACAGATTTTGGATGAAAATTTCGGAAATCATGCACAAACAAGGATATAAAGTTGATGGACGCATCTGCGAGTCGAAATTTGATGGGCTTCAAAGAACTTACAAAGGAATCATTGATAAGAAGAAACAAACCGGCACGAGTCCGCAAAAAAAATGGCAATTTTTCGATGAAATGGATTTGCTTTTGTTCAAGAAACCTGAAATTCAGCCGCCAGCAGATGCCAGCAGTTTTCAGGGCTACAAGAGAAAAATTGCTCGCGAGATCGACGAAACTAAAAGTACAGAAAGTAAACCGAAGAAGCGACCTGTGACAAAGGAACGTCAAATGACGTTAAAAGAGGTGAATTCGATTTCAAGCAACTTTACAAAGGAAAGACGAATTCTTGGATATATTGAAAGGTTTCTTTCAAGCTGAAAAGAAAAAACCCAAAGATCCTGAAAAAGATTAAGCAAATGGAATTTCCAGTTTTGTTGTTTCAAGAAAAATTTTAAAAAATAATGTTATGTATTCAAATTTTTTAAGAATAGTATAGATTTTAAGCAATTTTGCAATTTGTTGTGTGCTCTTGTTCGATGCGCAAGCAGCAATTCACAATTATGTGTTAGCAGCGTGGGAATAACAGACTGATAATTATTAATAAAATATATACTAATAACACTTCAGATTTTCGATATTTCTCTGTTTAAGGAATCGAAAAATTTTTTCTCTAAAATTTATAATGTTTTATTTATAATGTACTATTTTTTAATGCTACTCAATAGGAACATAAATTTGGTATAGCGCATATATATTGTTTTTTGCGAACTAATACATGTACACATATTTTAATGATTTCACTTGTATTTACATCTTTTTTTTTATTTACTGAATTAATTTTTTTAGAAAATGCGCATTGATTTGGAAAAGCATTCTGAGTAATTAATTTACGACATACAGTGTACTCCTTGTCATTTTGGTGATCTGCAACAAAATATATTATTTGTACGTAAGTACCGTCCTTTAGTTTTGCAAAAGAATTGTCTGACCTTTTATATTGAATTAAAGATGACTGTTAATGACGGATTTCCGTAAATATTAATTTTTTTTGTTAAATATAATTTATTAAAAATAATATTTATTTAATTATTGTTACAAATATTTTGTCAATTAAATACCAACAACATATACAACACAAACACACACACATATTAAGTTTCTGATACTAGAATATTCAAATAATATTTCTAATTAATTTAATAACTATTTATAATTTCAAATATGAATGAGAAATTCCCTTCCAAGTGTATATTTTGATATGAAGTAAATTCGATCAATGGAGGGTAAAGAAAAACACATAAAACAGATTTATGTTATTGTGTTAAGTTGCGACGTTTCGATGGTTTGGTTTACCATCTTTTTGACTTGATGTTTGCATCGAAATGACGAAAATTGTCGTGTATCTAATTTTTGTAGTGTTTTACTTTTTAATTTTTTAACGATAAATTGTGGGACTTACATGTATAAAAGTTGCCACATTAATTTTGAAAATTGGGAAACATATAAAGCATAAAGGTAATTCAGGTAGTTGAACCGATCACGCAACGATTAAAATGCAAGTTTTGCTACAACTCGCATGGAAACAACGAGGTGTTGATTGCAAAATCAACCCTCCCACTACTAAAATAACACACAAACCGAGTGTGATCGTTACCACCGAATTATTCTTCGAGGAGTCTTAATTTGTTTTTCCCGCAGAGCGGATGTATTTTCCCGCAAAAAGGCGGACGATTAATAAAGTTTTATTCCCACTGAGAGTGGTTGAGATTGTTGTTTGTTCCCCGCAGTAAGGGTTGAAATTGTTGAATTTATCGTTAAATTACAAGTGAATATTCTACGATTAGTGAAACCTATTGAGTTATAAAAGATCGTTTAAAACAAAAAAAGGAAAATTTAATTATTCAATTATTAAGAGTCATAAATGTTAAAACTGCAGAAACCAGTTAAATTCAGAAAGTGTTGATTTATTACAATAGTTGTTTATATCTCAAAATTAACTTTTTGGAAAATTCAGGTTTGATGAACCCAAACTTCTGAATTTTTAATAAGCAGATTTTTGAAATATTAAAATAATTGTTTCAAGACAATAAATATTACAAGTTTAGTAAAAGAAAATTTATAAAGAATAGAGGAAGACAAAATAGACTTCTGCATAATTGAGAATCACATATAAAATACGAAGGTCAAATTCTCAAGCGTTGGAAAGTAATTAGATACTTTTCGGTAGCATTTATTTTATTATTATTTGGTGAGTTGTTTTAAATCTTCATGTATTAATTGTAACACACATAATATATAAACGAAAAACAAACAATATTACACTCAGTTCAAACACATAAATTATTTTTTTATTGATGAAAATTGCCTTTTATCTGATCTTTTTGGTTTGCTTATATTAAGTGATTTTTGTGAGACTTGATTTAAAAATCAAGTAGCTTAAAGTAAATATTGTTTTAATTGTAAACATTTTTTTTTATTAAAGATCAATTGGGGAATATATAGTATAGAATATATAGGGAGTATAGTATAGCTAGCTATCGGAGCAACACGTGTTTATGAGTCGCTCCTGACTCTCGTGTGTTTTTCTCATTGAAATCTCATTAGTTTATTGTATTTTGTGATTTTTATTTTTGCGGAATCCTGTAGTGTTACAATTTTACACTTATATTTTGATAAATAGTGACTTGAAGTGCACTTTTCTGCAGTTTTTTACTTTGTGCTTATACTGTGCAGTGTCTCTCAGTCTGATTCTGCTCTTTATTGGGCATTAGACTAAAATGTCGGATAGATCTTGTAGCCAGTGTAACGCTAACATAGCGGGTGAAGCGTCCTCATGTCCATGCGGTGCATTTTACCATCCTGGCTGTTTTAATCTCTCCATTAGTAAATCCACTGGAAGGAGAAAATGCTGTCCATTTAAGCCTTCCCAAAGGTCTTTATCTCCAACAGCACCGCCATTGACTCTTGAAAGTATTAGCAATCTGCTTGATAATCATTATGTAAAAGCAAAAAAAGATTCGGAAGAATTTATTACTAAAAAATTAGATGCCATCCAAAATGATTTCGCTACTTTAAGCACCGCACTTTCATCGCATTCTGAGAGACTCGATAATGCTCTTGAAAGAATTGAGAACCTCGAACTACAGGTTTCGGAGATTCAAAGTACAGATAACGCTTGTCAACACATCGATAGTGGTCTCACACCATCACAAGTTTTTTCTGAGATATCCGACAGAATTCAAAGGAAACAAAATCTTATCTTGTTTGGCTGCCCTGAGGTTCATTTTGACGGTAAGCCTAGCAGCTCTGATATATTAAAAAAAGACATTATTAAAGTTAACGAATTCCTGCTTTCTATTAATTCTAAACTCAAAAACGATGATTACCAAATTAATCGCATTGGCAATTATAAACAGAACCTGGGAACTCCTCGTCCAATCAAAATATCATTTGTGGTGGAAAAAACAAAGATGGATACGTTGACAGCCTTTTGGGCGTGGAAAAAGACAGAACAGAGCTCGTCTGTGAAGCTACATCTATCCCAGGACCGTACTCTCATTCAGAGAACTCAACTCAGGGCGACATTGAAAATTTTAGCGGATCGTCGTCTTGCTGGGGAAACGAATTTGAAGATCAGGGAGATACGGGGCGAATCAACAATAGTGAAATCTCGGGTGAAAACAGCAGATTAGAATCTCAGATTAACCTTTCTAATACTTTATCTACGTTTAATTGTACTCACATCACAAATTTGGATTTGCTTAATGATCTTTTAATTTATTATCAAAATGTTAGAGAATTGAATACAAAGCTAAGTATTTTATCTTCTTCCTTGGACGTTTCAGAATATGATATTTTAATTTTTACTGAAACTTGGCTTAAGGATTCCACCCGTGACTCTGAAATTTTCGACCTTGACATTTTTAATATCTACAGAGATGATAGACTAAACAGAGTTGGGGGTGGCGTTCTTATAGCGATTAAATCTAGATTTATCTCAAGCTACGTTAATATAACAAATGTACTTTTCTCATCGCAGTATATTAATGTTGTCGCGTGTAAATTGTTTTGTGAATCGAATCCAATTATCATAATTACAATCTATATAACACCAAATATTCCTTTAAATGAATTTGATAACTTTTTTGAATCCTTATCAAATGTATGCGCTTCTTGGTCAAGTAATTATATAATTATCGGTGATTTTAATATTCCAAATCTAAAACAATATGTTACTACTGGAATACATGACATTAAATCTACTATATTGCACAGCTTTTTAGATATACATAATCTCCATCAATACAATGATATTCACAACATTAACGATAGATTTTTGGACTTGGTTATAGCGTCATTTCCCTGTGAAGTTTTAAGTAATGAGATTCCACTATTACCTGTCGACGTTTATCACCCCCCACTTACTATTCAATTTGAAACAGTGATGTTTCCTCATAGAAGTGATACTCGATTTGTAAAGAATGTTAACGATAAGAAGTTCAGATTCAAAAATTGCGATTTTACCACCTTCAAGCTTAGTCTTTCGAATACTGATTGGGGATTTCTTAAAGATATTTATAATGTCAACGAACTAATTGATTTGTTTTATAATAAAATTTACGAATTGCTCGAGAAACATATAGGGATCGTTACATATAACAATAAAGATAACAAATATCCAACTTGGTATAATTTTAAAATTAAAAATAGTATAAAAATTAAAGAAAAGCTAAGGAAACTTTATAAAAGTTCAGGAAGTAAACATTACTTGATCGAATACCAGCGCTTGCGTAAGGAAATAAAATCAGAAATTCGTAAAGCTCATTCGTTTTATCTTACTCATGTTGAAAAAGAAATTATCAATAATCCATCTACCATTTGGTCTTATTTCAATAAAATTAATAAATCTTCAAGAATTCCTGGGATAATGTCTTATAATGACACTGAATTAAATAATCCACAAGACATTGTCGATGCCTTTGCCGACCTTTTCTCTAAAGTTTATAAACCTTGCTCAATACCTTTGAGGTTTTATCCCACAAGGTACAATAAGTTATTTGGAGATGGATTGTTGATCTCTCCAGAACATGTCTTTGCCAAGCTGTGTAAATTAAGTAATAAATATACTGCTGGCTACGATAAGATACCTAGTATCGTTGTCAAAGAATGTTGCTATGAACTCCTTGAACCATTGACAATTATTCTTAACCGCTCTTTAAATACTTCTACATTTCCAGATCTATGGAAAATATCAAAAATATGTCCGATTTTTAAAAAAGGAGATAAATCATGTGTTAAAAATTATCGTCCAATATCGATATTATGTAATTTTTCCAAGGTATTTGAAATGATTATTTGTGATTTTATTTGGCCCTATTTTTCTCCGGAATTATCTTCAGCTCAACACGGATTTGTACCGCAAAGATCAACAATTACAAATTTGACGTCATTTATCCAAATAATTGAATCTTCGTTAGTGACTCACAATCAGGTGGATGTCATTTTCACAGATATTTCTAAGGCCTTTGATTGCATCGACCATGCAAAAATTATTACTGATTTACAAAATCTGGGGATACCAGATAAGCTTTTAAATTTACTATTATCTTTTTTAACAAACAGGAGAATGTCGGTACAATATTCAGGTTTCTCGTCTTTTCAATTTACACCAACATCAGGAGTTCCACAAGGATCTAATTTAGGACCATTACTTTTTGTTATCTACATGAATGTCGTTAGTTCTCTAATTAATAATTATATACTCTTATATGCCGACGATGCAAAACTTTTTAAACCAATTAACTGCTTTAATGATTGCATTGATTTACAAAATGATCTTAATACTTTTTCCGGTTGGTGTAACGATAACTCTCTGGATATTAATCCAGCTAAGTGTGCTGTTATGACATTCTCAAGAAAGACCAATTTAATTTTTTATGAATACAGTGTTAATGACATTCCTCTTGATAGGGTTACTATGTTTAAAGATCTTGGTATATATTTGAGTAGTAATTTAAAATTCAACACACATGTTGACACAGTTGTAAGAGAGGCGAACAGATGTTTGGGATTCGTTATGCGAATTTGCCGTAAAATTAACAGTGAATCTGCGATCATCTCTCTCTTCTGTTCGTTAGTCAGAACAAAAATAGAATATGGATCTGTCATTTGGTTTAGAATTAATCAATATCTAACTCAATTGCTGGAAAAATGCCAAAAAAGGCTTTTAAAGTTTCTTTATTATAAAAAACATAAGAAGTTTCTTTTACCAGGTTCAGACTATAATGAACTATGTACAATGTTTAATGCGCAAACACTTGAAAAGCGTAGAGTGATCGCTTTTTCGACTTATCTTTTTAAGATCATACGTTCAATAGTTGACTGTCCATTTTTATTATCATTAGTACCTATTCTTGTTCCTCAATGTGATTTACGAAACGTTACACCATTCTACACCGGGTGCAAAACATTACAGGGTACGCTGATTAATGAAATGTGTGAAGTTGTAAATGAAATTCACAACAGATGCGATCTTGATGTATTTAGTGACTCATTGAGCACGTTTTCTAGATTAGTTAAGGAGTTTGCGATTTAGTCTAAGACTGGCTATCACATTTATATATATTTTTTTTTTTCTGCGCGAATTTAAATTTGATTACTCTTAAAATCTTTATTTTGTTAATTATTATTGTTAAATTTAATAATTTTAGTTATATTTTTGTTGTTTTACTACATATTATTTTCGCGCAATTCATCAATTTTATATCACACTATTATTCTTGTTATCTATTATGTATAATTTGTATAATCCTATTATTGGTCTTCGGACTGTTGGATTAATTTCAATAAATAAAATAAAATAAAATGTAAACACTTTGGGGGTTGGATGAATAAACAGATTTCTTTTGTTGTGATAATCATGTTTCTATTTACTCCATCACCTTTTTGATTTTCTATATTATATCTCGCTTTTTAATCATTTTCACTAAAATACCGTCTATCCGTATGTATTAAATAAATAATATTCTAAGTTACAGTCCACTACCTTAATCTAACTTTGTTAGCGAAGAGCAATTTACACTTTCCAAATAAGCGGAATTGTTAAATAATAAAAATTAGTATTCTTTCTAAATATTTATTATTTTTCGTTAAATTATCTATTTATTACTTTTTTTAATTAACATCCGTCTTTAACAATGACATAAAGGCAACCGTCCTTTATCATTTTTTAAAAAGAACCAGACATATCTAAAAGATTTAGACTATCAACCAAAGTGGAAGATATGTATGAAGACTTTCCAAAATATCGCGCTGTGGAATGTTTTACAGTTTTTCGACCATCGATGTACTTCTTTCGGAGCAAAATTTTTTTGTTTCAAATGTTGCAAAAGGCTCAACTTTTTTCTTCAAGAATGCATAACTAGAGTTTATGTGTCGACAGATTTGTTTATGAATTCCTTTAGAAGTATGAACTACATTCAGCAACTTTGCATTGCCTGCTTCAAATGCAAATGCAGAGTGCTCATACAAAGGTCCCCAATTTAAGACACTATGTGCCAGATGTAATAAAATATGTACGTTAAATATCATAGCAACTTTTGTATACAAGCGTTCAGTATCATATACAAACTCATGTAATTATTGATCAGACCGATTAAGTTCATCAATAGAAATTTCCGATTTTATCAAGGAATTTACATATAATCGGTGCACTGTAGTAAAGAAGAAAATTTTCCCATTCTCGAGCTTTCCAGTGCTCTTTATCTGCTAAAGATCGCGTGAGTCTGCCAACATGATGCGGGACTTTCGTTGACTCTAGAATGGTATTAATTTCATCCACTTCTAATTTCGTTAATATCTTGGAAGAAGAACCTTTTTTTCCTAACTAAATAGTTGTAAATTGTTTGACCACTCCACTTATAATATGCATATTGTCAGGAACCAACCCATTAATTATATTAAATTTATTTAAATTTATCAACACTGATGGATTTTTGAAACCGCAGATTGGTTTCTTAGGCGTACATATTTTTGAGAAAATGATTTTAAAAAAAGAGAGAAATGAGAGATCAGTAAAGAGTGAAAAAATAAATTTTCTTTCTAAAATGCACATGTTTTAAAAACACAATTATAAATACACATTAAACACTGAGAATTTAAATGATGAAAAAGATGATGAAATTGAATTTACATACCATGAACAATTATTGAAGTGAAAAGTTTATTTATTGTGTCTATGTTGTGATGTTTTAATTTTCAGAGAAAATTTTTTTTGGGGTTTATGTCAAGTGCGTGAGTAGAATTTTTGTTTATTTTTGTTTAGTTCGCTAACGTCGAACCGAGACACAGTAACTACCCTTGCATTCGGCAAGCTCTGGTTTCTCTAAAAATTCGGAAAAAATTCCTCGACTTAACCTCGCCGGAAGGGTGTAGCCACTTGGGCAAGTGAGAGGATTAAAGTACGAAAAGTACAAAACGCGAATTTAGATTTTTTTGTTAGTTGGAATTTAAAAATTCCAAATGTTTAATTTTTCGAAATACGAGCAAGACAGTCAATCCGAAAATCAGAGTAAAATCCGAGAACAAATCTTATCGAGAAGAAACAATAGTCCAGAAACATTTAATGCGGTAAAAAGACAATTATTCGTGGAAAAAGAAAAAATCAAAGATACGCGTTCAGAAAATAATTATAGTTCATTAGCACAATCGTTGCAAAAGTTGAACATGTCGGGTTAATTAA